AAATTTCCTCTACCGGTTCTCCAGAACCTGTCAGAACCTGCTGGATTTCACCCTTGCTTTAGATAATTGGGGTGGTGGTGTTTCAACTAGTTGGTGGAGATCCTGAAAACGGATTCCTTCTGACACCAAGTTTAAAATGAGTGTTCAGGCAGTCCTTGACTTACGACAGCTCATTTAGTCACCGTTTGACGTTTACAACGGCACTGAAAAAATGTGGCTGATGACCGTTTTTCACACTTACAACCGGTGCAGCATCACCATGATCACGTGATTAACAATTCAGACACTCAGCGACTGACTCGCACTTATGACGGTCCCGGGGGGGGGTCACGTGATCCACTTTTGCGATCTTCTGACAAGCAAAGTCAAGGGGGAATGCCACTTAACAACCAATCAGGTTACTAACTTAACAACTGCAGTGGCTCGCTTAACAATGGTGGCGAGAAAGGTCGTACCATGGGGCAAAACTCCCTTAACAAAGGTCTCGCTTAACAACAGAAACCTCAGGGCGGCTCAACAGTGGTCGTAAGTCGAGGACCGCCTGCAGAATTCTGATTTCCCACCTTAAAATTGGATGAGTTCTCGCTTTCTCCCCTTGCGTTAAATATCACCTTCTTCCAAATTGGAGAAGAAACGGCTGATTCTTCATTTTCCTGCCTGACCTAACTGGTGATCCGCAGAGCCCGTCGTTCGTTCCCCTTGACCGGTTGAGACCAAGCCAGCTGGGTGAAGCATCACTGCGCTTGGTCATTGCGATTCTCCTTGGGCCTCTTGATCTGCTTTTCCGACCGTCCGTTTGCCAGCGGTGCCACCTTACCGGACCTTTGCACGCGATGACCAGGAGTAGCAAATAATCAACCCGTTCTGCGGCATTGGCATCCCACCCAAATTTTTTCCACAGGTGCCCTGCGGAGCAGGTTAGGGTTGGGTTGACCATTTGAAGGATTGATGGTGGCTCGTAATTGGAGAGAGAGAGAGAGAGAGAGAGAGAAATGGCTCAACCCACAGCCCTGGGCTGGTCGAGCTCTCATCCTATAAAACATCCTTGAATTTTGGCAATTAGAAAATCAAGACGGTTTGGGGTGGGAAGAGAACTGTGGGGCAGCCATGGTCGGAGGCAAAGGGAATAGCAGGCTAGGGCCTTCCCCGCCAGAAAGCTGGGCTTTCTGAAAAGAGTCCAGTCCTCATGAAGTATGATAGGCCACGGGACAGGTAGTTCTCGACTTAGAACCAACTGTTCAAAGTTACAACGGCACTGAAAAAAGGGACTGTACAACGGGTCCTGACTTTTACAACGGATCTCTCTCTCGATCTCTCATCTATGTCTGTCTGTCTATCTATTTGTCATCTATCTTATATATCTCTGTCTGTTTATCTCATCTATCATCTACTTTTTATCATTTAATATATTTATCATCTATCTCTCTATCATCTATCCATCTTATCTATCATCCCTCTATCTATTTATCTTTATCTATCATCTATCTATCTCTATCTATCAGTATATCTATCTATCGGTATCTATGTATCAGTATATCTATCTACCGTGTTTCCCTGAAAATAAGACCCTGCCTTATATTTTTTTGAACCCTGAAATAAGCGCTTGGCCTTATTGCCATGCGCTCAAAAGCCCGATTGAGCTTATCATCAGGGGAATGTCTTATTTTGGGGGAAACAAGGTATCTATCCGTCCGTCTGTCCATCTGCCACCTATCTATCTATCTATCTATCTATCTATCTATCTATCTATCTATCTATCGATCGATCGATCGATCGATCGATCGGTATCTATCTATCTGTATCTATCTATCGATTTATCTATCTGTCTTTCTGTCCGTCTGTCACCTATCTATCTATCATCTACCTATTATCTATCTATCTATCTATCTATCTATCTATCTATCTATCTATCTAT